ATCAAGCACACATGTGTCTCGTTGAGTCTAGCCTATAGTTTATCTAGAGATCAATTATAACTGTATATTTGCAAATCGCAGTGTTGTGGTTACGTTATCCCTTATACGAATGCTCTACAAATATAAAATGCTAGTGTTATTCAATAAGACATTCGTAGTTTATCTAAAAGATCAATATCAACCTATTATTTTTGCTTATTTCAAAATGTTTTGGTAATTTGTAAATGTTAGACTACTTTGTTTTGTATCGGTTATGGAGCATCTAGTGTTCATAAGAACAAAATTTTACTACTTTGTTGTGCCATCACCAAGTTTAATATAATTTCGTCGTCATTGGAAAATAGCCAATGTGAAAATAGGTGTAGTAATGTTGTTTGCAATTCTCAATAGGGCTGGGCAAATTATCCGTTAAATTCGATCCGATTCGCTATTCATTGCGACCGTTTTGAATCAAAACAAAGCAAATACAAGAATTTAGTATCCGTCTAAGTCGAAACGAATCACAAATACTAAATTTTAAAATCCGAATATTCGATCCGATCCGTTTGTCGAATATATTTATAGTAAAACTAGATAGATATTAACTTTATTTAAAATATTTTTCTTAAATAAAAAATATATATTTATTTTTCACCGTTTTAATCTTTCACTTTTTATTTTTTAAATAATTTATTGAATAAAATTAGACACATTTCATATATTTATCGATTAATTAGTTTAAATCTTATATTAAAACTTTTTTTTTTGAAAAAATATGATGGTGTTTAATTTTTTTTGTTTAAAACAAATATCCGCGAACATCCGGATATCCGCAAATATCATCCGGATATCCAAAATCTTCCGAAGCAAAGAAAATCAAAAAATTAGATATCTATAAAAAAAAATTGAATCGCAAATAATGTATTTTTCGGATATCTGATCCACTAGGCCTAATTCTCAAGGCGTCTAAAATAGGGAAAACAAGGAATAAAAGTCATGTTTTGTTTGCAATTTTCGATATGTTGGCCCATTCGATTGCAAAACTTGTTATCATGGGTTTCAAACTTTTTCCTTTTATAACAAATTAAAGAATAGTTTTGAAGTTACATTATGACAAAAAAACTGCATAATCGTAAAAAATAAATTTATTTATTTAATTAAGAACATCCAAACCCATTGTAAATTCATCAATTAAAATTTTCGTAGTACATAAACGGCGAAGAAAAGTTTAAACCAAACTAAATATGTACCGAACACGAAATCGAACTAAATAAACCAAAAATTATTTACTGGTCAGGGGTTGGCGGTTCACATAGATTTTGGTTTGTGAACCGGTCATGGTTGGTTCAGAGAGGACACCACTCCCACTAAAACCCCAAAAAACCTCTCTCGATAAAAAAATCACCCAAATCCCTAAAAGATTCGTCTCTCGACTGTAGCAGAATCCCCCAAAACCGAAGGTTCTTGTTCCTCTTATCAACAATGAAATTCAGGGGTACGTTGTTAATCGCTTGTTTAAAGTTGGCCTTTCACTGTTCGAATCCTTTCTGGATCGTGTTGTATAATTTCTGGGTTCTCGTATTTTTTTTGTGTGTTTCTCCCGTTGGTTTCTCCTGATTGATGATCGGTCAAACAATTGATACATACATGTCTTGCTTGCAATCTTTCTCAGACCCTTTTAACTACTCGTGTTCTGTTTCAATCTTTCTCACACTTGCCAATACTTGTATTCGTTTGATTCCGCTGCTTTTGGATGATTTCTCGTTTTCCTTTTGGTGTCAGAGTTGGATTTGTGTCTGGATGTGTCTCATATTTTACAAGTAGCGAATGTCTGGAGAAATTACTCATCTTGGTTTTTTCCCTCTTATTACAGGAGCTAAAGTTGCTGCAAATAAGAATGTTGACGTGATCCTTGGTGAAGACGAACTTGTCCACATTTCTCAGGTTATTTTCATATGTGATGCTTGTTTTCATATTTAGTTGAACAATACTTTTAATGTATTTCTAAATATGCAGGTGTCTCTTGACTTTAATGGCTATCCGGATGAAAGAGCGAAGAAGATCAAGAGGGAAAGAGATACCAAGTATCTCTCTTTGGTCAAACGTGAAGCTGATATTGGTATTTCAAAATGGAGGAGACTGTACTTCCATATGATGGCACAACAGGTAGAGACATTGGTTACTTCTCAGAAGACGGAGACAGATGTTGCTCCTCAAAAGACAATGGAATTCTGGGGTAAGAATCTCGTCTATGCTTGTTTAAATTTGGCATTTCACTGTTGGAATCTTTTCTGGATCTTCGTTGTATCATGTGGGTTCTCGTATTTTTGTGTGTTTCTCCGTTGGTTTCTCCTGATTGATGATCGGTACTTGATACATACATGTCTTGCTTGCAATCTCTCTCAGACCCTTTTAACTACTCGTGTTCTGTTTCAATCTTTCTCATAGTTCCCAATACTTGTATTGGTTTGGTTCCGCTGCTTTTGGATGATTTCTGGTTTTCCTTTTGGTGTCAAAGTTGGATTTGTGTCTATATGTGTCTCATCTTGGTTTTCTCCCTCTCTTATTACAGGAGCTAAAGTTGCTGCAAATATGCCTTTTGACGTGATCCTTGGTGAAGACAAACTTGTCCACATTACTCAGGTTATTTTCATATGGAAGCAATTCTTATATTATAGTTTTTATGTTTAGTTGAACGATCTCTTTACTGGATTTCTGAATGTGTAGGTGTCTCTCGACTTAAACGACTGTGAGGATGATATTGCCAAGTTGTTTATAAAGGTTGGTGACGGAGGGAGATATACGATTGGCTCTCTTTCGCTACAGAAAGCAAACCACATGAGTGTCGATCTAATAATTGACGAAGACTTCATCCTCTCGCACTCCCTGAAGAAAGGCAACGTCCATTTTACCGGGTACACCACACCTAATCTGGAAGCTCTTGTCAGTGAAGGCAAGGACAAGAAGACTGCTGGTAAGAGGAAGGCAAGATGCTAATAGGAAATGATAGAAGCATGAGGGAGAGCATCAAGAGAAGCAGATCACACTTTTGGGTTTGAACGGTTCTTGCCTTACACTTACATTGACTTTAGAGACAATTAAATCGAAATTAATCCAATAAATGCATCTGTCTTTTAATTAAACAACCATCCAGTTTATACACATAGCTAAAAGAGATTCAGTCTTTCTATCACCTAAAACTCTTCCAACGCAGAAGGATATAAATAGACAAAACAAAAAACTGCTTTCGAAGCAGCTCTGCTCTTGGAACATTTATCTTCATGATCAAAAGATATTTCCATGGAGCATTTGACTTCTTGATTCAAAAGATCCAAATCTCTGGCCAGATTCTTAGCTATGACCAGAGGATTTACCGGCAGAAGAAAAAATCACTTGAAGAAGCTAGCATGATCAAGACTCCGTTGACCGTTTTTGCAACATAAAGCTCCAAATGAAAACAAAAAAAGAGATTTCTTCGAGGATTTTACTTGATTCATTGGAATATATGAGAATAATACCTTGGAGCAATCCAATCCCAGTTATCCAGTCAACAACAGCATCAAGTAGAAATTATATTTATGGAGGCATGAGTTGCATCTCAAAGAGCATTGGAGAATCGCAATGCCTGCATTTATCGGGAAGTTTCAAATCTTCGGTGGCCAGTAGCAGTTTACCGCCATATGAGGACCTGACCGTAAGAGAAACATAGCAGAGGACACATTAAAAAACTAGATCGAAGATTGAAGGTTGAGATTTTTCAACCATAGATATGAGCGAATCACAGTTACCTGAAACAAACACTGCTCTGGGTTTGCATCTAAGGTATGTTCTATCTGCATTCAGGGCTTTGCCCTTCTTTGGTAGTGGACATGGACGAGTAATTCATGGAGAAACGATCGACGTTCTCTTCCTTTGTATAAACGTAGAAGCATGGAACCACTGCACCGGTCTCAGCTTTAATTTGATCCGCAATTCTAGTTTCAGATTTTAAAGGTCCCTGAACTAGCATTGTCAATTGGTTTGCTCTTCAAATTGAAAGGACAGTAGCAGCAGCCTCCACAATCGCTTTAGCAAAATCGAAATCTTCATCATCATCACCGTCTAAGTCGTCGTCTAGCCAATGAGTTTTAGAAGGTGTATCAAGAGGCGACACGACAGGAAATTCCGCTATTTCACTCGAATCTTTCTCTTTGGTAGGTTTCTGAACGCTAAAAGCCCTCCAGCTGAACCAAAACCAATAGAAACATTTAAGGAACAATTTTCCATCACTCTCATATAACCTGAAACAAATATGATTTTGGGCAATAATGACAAAACCTTTGTTCAGAAGTTCCACATTTAGGCATCAAGCAACCAAATATATAAAGCACACTCTCTTTGATATCCGAATCTTCGATTGAGATTGGAGCATACACCTAAAACGCATAGATGGAAAGAATCTCCATCTATGATAAAAAAAAAGGAGGAATGATTCCTGATTACTCAATGGATCTCACAAAGATCAGAGAGATTAGGAAACTCAACAAGAGAGATCCTTCTCGAGCTAGCCTTGGCAACGAAGAAGAAGAACTCGTTGACCCTTTTCATAATCAACCCACTTCGGTCGATAAGCTCAAGACAACCACCACTACCCACGTTCTCCATCTGTAAGATCACTTTAAAAAAAAATATATATATATATTTTTC